TCACTGTTAGGACGGGATGGTAAGGCGTCACCGGATGAGTCTAGGCCGCCTTCACCCTCTGCGCCATGTAAGGTAATCAACTTTATTAATGGTGGATCTGATTTATGTGGACTAACGTATTCTGCAGCAAAAGACACGCCCGGGATTACACCCGAGACAAGTCGTTGCAGGTTTATAGGATCGGAAAACGTCAAGAGGAATGGAGGAATGCGTCAATCACATTTGACGAAACGGACATTTCTGATCCGATACAATCTCATCACGATACATTGGTGGTCTCCCTTAGAGTGGCAAACTGCGAAGTCAAACGAATCCTCGTGGACAACGGGAGCACCGCAAATATTACCACCATGAAAACGTTGGAAGAACTGGGGGCCAAGGAGGAAGATATAACAGGTTCCGGGTCAAGCTTGGTCGGATTCAATGGAGAGCCAAGCAGAACCGTAGGTAATATTTCTTTACCCGTATATACCCATGGTCTAAACATGCAGGTCAAATTCGACGTGGTCGAAAGCATACCAGCGTACAACATGATCTTGGGAACTCCCTGGTTGCATCAAATGGGAGCGGTTCCATCGACTTATCATCAAATAATCAAGTTCCCAACGCCGTGGGGAGTACAAAGCATCAAGGGGGATCGACAATCAGCCAAATCCTGCTACCAAACGGCGATGAAGCCAACTGCGGACCAAACTGCCTCCACGATCGCATAGCAATTAAAGGGTGGCCCCGCTCTGTTGGAAGATGACAATAAAACAGAAGAAGTCGCCATCGACTCAGAACATCCAGAAAGGGTCATCCGCATCGGGAAGGACATACCAAAGCACCTCAAAGACGAACTGATAAACTTCCTCAAAGAACATAAGGACGTGTTTGCATGGAGCCACGACGACATGACAGGTATTGATCCTAATATCATAACTCACAGGTTAAACGTCAGCCCATTACACAAACCCGTCAGACAAAAAAGAAGACGCTTTGCAAAAGAAAGGAATGCCATTATAAACCAGGAAGTTGATACGCTGCTCCGAACCGGCAAAGTAAAGGAGGTAAAGTATCCCGATTGGTTAGCTAATGTTGTTGTTGTTCAGAAAAAGAAAGGGCAGGAAGAAGGCAAGCCAGTCAAATGGAGAGTCTGTGTGGACTTCACTGACCTGAACAAAGCGTGTCCCAAAGATTCATTTCCAATGCCACACATTGACGCTTTGGCTGACGCTACGGCCGGGCATGAAATGTTATCCTTCATGGACGCATTCAGTGGGTACCATCAAATACAGCTTCACCCTGATGACCAAGAAAGCACAGCCTTCATCACTGAAACAGGTACGTATTGTTATATTGTTATGCCTTTTGGACTAAAAATGCAGGCGCGACGTTTCAGAGACTAGTCACCTTAATGTTCAAAGATCTAATGGGGGACACTATGGAAGTTTATATCGACAACATGATCGTCAAATCAAAGAAAAAAGAGGATCATATCTATCATTTGACGGAACCCTTCAGAAGACTGAAAAAGTACAATCTGAAGATCAATCCAGCGAAATGTACTTTCGGAGTGACGTCAGGAGAATTTTTGGGATATATCGTCAGTGAACGAGGAATAGAGGCGAGCCCGGAACAAATACGAGCAATTATTGACATTGAACCTCCAAGATCCGTCAAAGATATCCAGAGGATGACAGGACGAATCGCGGCTTTGAATCGTTTCATTTCAAAATCGTCAGACAGGTGCCATTTGTTTTATGACGTCTTGAGAAAAAACAAAAAATTTGAATGGACAGACCGACACGAACAGGCGCTTCAACAATTAAAAGAATATATGATGTCGCCACCATTGCTCGCAAAGCCTAAAAATGACGAAGAGCTACAACTCTATCTGGCCGTTTCAGAGCACGCCGTCAGCGCAGTACTGACAAAAGAGGAGCAGGGTCAGCAAACTCCAGTCTATTACGTAAGTAAATCCCTAAATGGACCGGAATCCAGGTACGCTTTACTTGAGAAATTAGTTTTAGCTTTGATCGTTGCTTCGATTAAATTACGTCCTTATTTTGAATCACATACCATTTGTGTTAGAACTAACTATCCCATGAAGTCAATCATGAGGAAACCGGAATTGACAGGTCGCATGGCTAAATGGTCGATTCAACTTGGAGCTTATGACATAAGATTCGAACCAAGAACAGCCTTGAAATCACAGTCACTTGCAGATTTTGTGGCAGACTTCAGTCCAAAGCTCCAAGAGGAAGCAGAAAAAGAGATTTGCACTCTGATCGATGGATTCCCAAAGCAAAAATGGACATTGCACACTGACGGAGCGTCAAACCAAAACGGCGCAGGTCTGGGCCTGATACTGAAGTCACCACAGGGGGACACCATGCTCCAAGCAGTACACTGCGATTTCACCGCTACGAACAATGAGGCAGAATACGAGGCGCTAATCGTCGGACTCACATTGGCAAGGGACTTGGGCGTCAAAATCTTGGAGGTAAAATGTGAATCTTTACTGATAATCAATCAAACTAACGGTGTGTATGCAGCAAAGGACCCCAAGATGACATCTTATTTGCAAATTGTCTGAGAATTGATAACGGCATTCGACGAAATAACCCTTGAACAAATCCCACGAGAGGAAAACACACAAGCTGATGCCCTGGCCGCCGTCAGATCATGTCTAGGGGCAGAAATCAATCGCAACATCCCCTATGTGCACTTGATGAGCCCAGCAATTTACAGATCAGAGGTTGCCTCTACCATTAAGACCCCGGCACAAGACGATTGGACACAACAATACGTAGCATACTTAAAACACAATACTCTCCCAGAGGACAGAAAAGAGGCCAAGGCTTTACTATCTAAGGCAAGTAAGTTTTTACTAATTGATGATGTGCTATTTAAAAGATCTGTCGCAGGTCCACTCCAAAGATGTCTGGCACCGCAAGAAGCCGCCAAAATTTTGAAAAACCTTCATGAGGGGGAATGCGGCAATCACGCAGCAGAGCGAAGTCTGTCTAACAAAGCTCTTAGATTCGGTTATTACTGGCCGACCATGAGAGAAGATGCAACCACCTTCACCCAAAGATGCAAGCCTTGTCAGATGCATGGACCAATCCATCATCAGCCTTCTGAGAGGCTTCATCCAGTTCTATCACCGTGGCCCTTTATGAAGTGGGACATGGATATTGTAGGAAAATTGCCAGAGGCACCGGGGCAGAAAGTATATATGCTAGGAATGACGGATTACTTTTCGAAATGGGTGGAGGCTGAGCCTTTTCGGCAGATACGAGATGACCAGGTGATTTCGTTTATTAAGAGAAATATCCTTTGCAGATTCGGCGTTCCTTCAGAAATCGTTTGTGACAACGGATCTCAGTTCATAAGCGCTAAAACCAGACGCTTTTGTGAGAAATACAATATCAAATTGGAAACGTCGACACCTAGGTACCCGCAGTCTAATGGGCAGGCCGAGTCTAGCAACAAGATTATCATTGCCAACTTAAAGAATAGGCTTGAAAAGGCGCAAGGCCGATGGGCTGACGAATTGCCCTTAATACTTTGGGCAGACAGGACAACTCCGAAAAATGCAACCGGACAAACCCCATTCTCTCTGGTACATGGCTGTGAAGCGGTCATTCCTGCTGAGATTGAAATACCTTCTTCGAGATATGGACTCATGACGGGGGAATTGAACAATGTGGAGTTGGTGCACGACTTGGATACCATTGACGAGATCCGTGAACGAGCCAAGATCCGTTTGCAGACATATCAACAAATGGTGGCAAAAAGCTATAATAAAAATGTTCGGGCAAAGGTGTTCCAAAAGGGAGATTGGGTCTTGAGGAGAGCATTTGGCAATGAAGGAGCCGGAAAATTTAGCCCTAATTGGGAAGGACCTTACAGAATCATTGATGTCATCGGTCAGGGGGCGTACTGCCTGGAGTCAATCGATGGTAAACAAGTCCCTCGAAGTTGGAATGCGGTACATTTAAAGCGTTTCCATTTTTAAAAAAAATAATAAAAAAAAAAGAGTTTCTTTCCTTTTCTGCATTTCTATCCCTATTACTAAATAACTAACTTGGTCGTCGGAGGGCCGTTGGCTTAAGGCCAACGACCAATCCTGACGATAATTGTAAATACAGGAAGGCACACAAAAATGGCCAAGTCACAGGTAATTAGTTACAGTTCATGTAATCTTGAATATAGTAAATACAATTCATCATTTACTAACTTGACCGTCGGAGGGCCGTTGGCCCCAAACCAACGGCCGATCCCAACGGAACGGTATCATCGCAGGACTATGACAGGTTAAGATCAGAATACCAGGTGACCAAATACCAGAACAACAGATAGAACATCAGATCTGCTCATGACAAAACATCAACATACAGGGGACATGGGACTCATTATGAAAAATCCATAAATGAAGCTCCATGAAACCGAGTACTTTTTGGCCAAAACACATACGCGTTTGTGACACAGCAAGACATATTGCACGCATAAATAGCAGACATGCACACACAACAGAGTACACATAAACAAAATTATGATCCGAACGATAGCAAAAAACAGTGACAGATCCACATAGTGGTGTGGACAGGGCCAGGCTAAACCGCCAAGCATGAAGCTCGTGAGCAACGTGATAAGGCGTTAAGTCCCGGATAAACCACCGGGAACCCCTAACGCAAAGCGCAAAGTGTCAGAGTAATTCAAAAGTAGGGAGTGTTTGTAATCCAGCGAGAAAAAGGGGAGCATAACCAGTTGACCGGTAAACATTAAAGATCAATATCATCGTCAGAGTGACCCACCTCGAAGCCGTCTTCTCCTACAGGAGGATCCATCTCTTCCCTCAACTTATGCCATGTAGCTACGTCCCGTTCCGCTGATTGGTGTGTCATTTCTCCTTTAATAAAGGATGTCATTAACTCACCCCTGGTCTTCCAGACATAATAGCAAGCGGCGTCAATTACTTCTTGCTTCTTTTTTCGACCATAAGCCTCCAAGGATTTGACTCTGGCATTGAGCTGCAGAATTTGGGCAGATTGAGTAGAAATTTTGTCTTCCAATTCTCGAACTAACTTTGCACTCTTATCAAGAGAAGATACTAGGGAAGTCTCCTTCTGTTTCAATTCATCAACGGCTTTCTCTAATGAAGATACACGAGCAGCAGCAACAAGGCTCGCTTGAATACTCTGAAAAAAGACAAGACAGTTTAATCAAAAGAAAAAAGGAAGGGAGTTCATTAAGCATGGTGGTCCATCAGCACCTGAAACGCATAAGCGGAGGAGGCAGCAATGACACCGGTAGGAGGCAAGCAGTCAAAAAAGGAAGTAGCAGAGGCCAATTGAAATTGGGCCATCTCGTCTTTCATAATCAGAGTGTCCTTCAATTCACAGAATTCCGAGGAAAGTGATAAGTTCATAACTTGTGGCGGCTTCGTTCGGATATCAACCCCATGTTCCGCGTTAGGGGTATCAGGAGTGGTAGCGGTATCAGGCATTGGGTATTTGGGGACCTTTGGAGGATTTGCTGATAATTTAGAGGGCATCCTTTTCCTCCTCGATGCCATAGCCAACAAATCATGGTCAGAAGGAACGGAACGAGAAGTACTCGATGAAGTAGCTACACAAATTAAGGAGAACAGAAGTTAAGACTAATAGATCCAACGATAATAAAGAAGAGCGTAAATCTCAGAGAATACCTGTAATAGGAGTAGAATTCTTGAATGGGGGCATGGGGGTGCTTATAGCAGTAGGAAACACGACTTGAAGGGGGACGAAAGCACTCATACCCTCGCCGTCATCTTTGGAAGCTTCAGATCCTTGACCTGAATCTTCTACGGAAACGACATGTGAATTCTGATTCAAATCATGTGCGGTGGGAGTGTGCCTACGAGATCGCCTTAACCCCGCACAATCAGACTCAACGGGAAGAGGTGACGTACCTTGAAAGTCTGATACCAGATTCGCATAAGTTCGATCTTCGACAGGGAACAAAAGAATCTTGGCATTTCTCTCCTCAGAATGCAGACCGGGAACCAGTGGGATAGTCTTCCTCTCTGCGCGACACAGAGGAACAATGCTAAATACATCAAGTTTCATACATATATCCAAGAACGCAAAAATATTCTGAAATTACCCATTTCCAATATCTACACTAGAGGTTACGAATCAAATAACAAAAGTTGAAGACGGAAATCAACCGAACAAATCACGAAACACGATTCGAAAGAGAAACTAACCTTTGTGTAAATTCTCCTCCAAGAATGATCCATCAGAACCTAGAGACCCTTTATTTACAAAGAAGTACAAATTCATCCATCCCCGGTCATTAGCTTTGTCCACCTTGTGAATTAAAGCTTCTTTCCCTTCTTTCACTGCTAAAGTGAAGCGACCGGCTCCTGAGGATCTGAGGTCATAGGTAAAACCCAAGTCTTCAAAACCCAGGGCCAGACTATGTTTCTCACTCAAGACCTCTAAAGCTCTAAGTACTCTCCATACTTGGGGCATGATTTGGGAAGGCGATACTCTGACGAAAGCAAGAAAGTCTCGGACTAAATGTGAGAATGGGAATTTCATACCTATCTTGAAAGGGTACATCAGAAAGTTTACCCATCCATCACAGAACCAATCTATCCTCTCGTTCGCTGCTGGAAAGCGAATATCCGCATCATGAGGAAAGCCGATGGAAGATCTGATAAAGTCGACATGATGTTCGGAAAGTTTCGCTTGCTTGGAGTTCTTCGGATCTAAAATATGTTGCGGAATGAAGGGTTGTGAAGCCATGAAGAACCAATGTGTTGGCTGGGATTTGCAGAGAATCGAAAGGAAGAGAGAACAAGGTTTTTCTTGCTGAATTAATTCGCTAAGGGAAGAAGAGGTTAACGATTGATTGATACTGATCGGCTGACGGCCTTGCACATTCCGAGGCAATGTCATGATGAAAATTCAAATAAACGGTTGGCTTTTAATTTTTGAAAATTGGCGCCCTCCTCTTCTTTGAATTGGGGGCAATTGTTGGGCCACGGAAGTGTAAATAGGTCAGCCCATCCCTAAGAGGTGGAATCCAACTAAACAAACGACCAACAAATCGGATAAGGATGGACTTAGTAGGAGTGCTCAATTGGATGACGGAACCTAGGGACTCGGCGACATTTCCGGCGGGCAGTTGCACTAAACGGATAGAGTTCTATTGCTGTATAAATAGAGAAAAACCTAGAATAGGGAGACACGATCAACCTGGCTTGATAAAAGAAGCATTTGTAACACCATTCCTGGGGAGATACATTGAGATTAATATATTTTCATTCATTAATCCTTCGGTTTTCATACTTTATTTCTTGTACGATCCCTACATACATATAAATTTAGAGTAGTTTAATTCTTGCTTGAACATATATTAAGATGTAACTTGCGTACAATAAGATGTAACTCGCGCAGAAGAAGATGTAACTTCATGATATATTATCAAATGTAACTTCAAAATAATTTGTTAAAATTACATAAGCAATATTGGTCTCATTTGATAGATCATGAAAAATAAAAAAAAATTGATATAAAATTTATAAAAATCGGATATCAAATAAAAAAGTTATTACAATTTTTAACAATAAAAGAAAAAAAAAATAGTGAATGCTGCGTCGTTTTGGGATCAGACGCACCATCCTCATGATGCGACGATCCCAGGATATAAATTGCCAACTACCTCTCGTAACCCCACCGCTTCCGTTTCCGCCGGGGACCATTCGCATGAAGCACCACATAAAGAGATCACATAACTATTCTTTGTTTGAAGTAAAGAACGAATATCATCAATAATCAGATCCAAATATGTAATGCCTTCACCTTTTTGGACTCCTCGAACAATCACTTGTGCATAACATTCTATTTCAACGGTTTCCCAACCCTCCTTAATAGCTTATATGACTGCCTCTCGTAACCCCACTGCTTCCGTTTCCGCCGGGTACCATTCGCATGAAGCACCACATGCCTTCACAAATTCTCCCCGATCATTCCTTGCAATCCAACCCCATGCTCTTATTCCCCCGAAGCTATCAATCGCTGCATCCACATTTACCTTAATTCATCCCATTTTTGGCCGCTTCCATCTCTGAGCTTGGCTCCTCGCGATGCTCCTCGGTTTTGCCAACGACCGATGCGCATCTCTCCAAGCCTGCAGCATGCTCGCGCAACAGTTAATAATACTGGCAGCATTCTGCCATTCGTTCTCCCAGACGAACGCGTTTCGGCTCTTCCACAAACCCAAACCAACATTGCTATCTTGCACCTTTTTTCCTTGTCCGGAACAGCCAACAAACCTTGAAGCCAGGCCTCTAGAGATTCCTCCCCGCTGCCTATAACCACCCCAGCCTCCACCCAGACCTCAACAGCTCTCGGGCAAGACCGCAACGCATGATCCAAGGTTTCGGCTCCCTACTGCGAACATACACCACATATTTTCCAGCATCTGCTCTCTATCTAACATTTTTGTCCAAATTCGATTGAAACAATAATCAATAACACAATTATTTTCCAAACAAAAATTAAAGTGTTAGTATTCAAATGGTCATTTTAAACTACGTATACTACTTGGTGATTTCAAAGGTTTCTACATACGATAGAACATATTACTATTTATTTGTTTAGTTGATATGTGCATACTATAAATGAAATCAATATTCAATGATGAAGTAAAGTGAACACAAGAAACTGGGAAATAATGTTCTAATTGTTGAGATAATTGATATTAGGGATTAGGTCATAGATATTACCCTCGTCCATTAAAACTTTGTCATCTTTCCTTTTTGGGATATCCTAAAAAACTTTGACACTTTCCATTTTAATCAATTATTTGTGGTTTCTGTTATTTCTCTCTCCTCTGCACAAACCACAATCACACAATTTTTACTCTATTATTCTCCGTGCCGATCAATTTTGGCAAAGTTTTAAGGGACAGAGGTAGTACCAACTAAAAGCATTTTAACAAATCTAAGACCTCTTTAAATAAAAGACAAGAGGACCAACCGTGTGAATCATTTAAGAAATATAGGATGAAATGTCAAAGATGCCCCTATTACTAATAAATGCTCCGCCCCTGCTTTGTAAACCACATAGCCCATTTTCACGTTCCTCAAATGTATGGGTGGGCATAACGGTTCGGTTTGACCGAATCGAACCGTACCAAACCAAATTAAACCGAACCGAAATTGAACCATTTGTAATTTGGTTTGAGTTTGGTAGTATTCCTCTCAATCCATATTAAACCGAACCAAACCGAACCGAAATCATAAAACCGAATAAAACCAAATAAAACCAAACTAATCTGAAAATGAAATAATTTCTTATTTTTTTAAAACAACAAATCAAAATCAACTTCCACCAAACTAAACCAAACCAAAATATATGATTTCTCTCATTAATTTGATTGATGTTAATCTTTTTGAAGCTTTAATTCTTTAGTTTTAGTGTCCAGGACTAGAGTTTACTACAAGAGTTACATTCACAACCATAACAATTATAGTGGTTTAAGTAGATAGTATTCAACTATAATTTATTATCTACTACTACTATATATTTGGTTCATTACTTACAAGCACCAGTTTTGTTTTTGTTTCGGCTTTATATATAATTTGATTCATTCTCGTTGTTGTTGTTGCTTACAAATGTGTCATGCTTATATATTTTTGGTTCATACGGAGTATGTGTTATGTTACTGTTTGCAAATTTATATCTAACATTATATTTGGTTCATTACTATCGCTTCTTGGTTCATTATTTTGAGTTTTTTTTTCAATCCAAACCTTAATACTTTGGTAAATCGAACTCCAATCCGAACCGAACCATACCAAACCGAAACCAAACTGAAACTTAATCGGTTTGTATTTGGTACATTTTCTATCAAACCGATTAAACCGAAACTGAACCGAAACCGAAAAAAACCGAACCGAAAACCGAAATGCCCACCCCTACTCAAATGCTACAGCAAGTCAGCAACTTTCAAGATTAAAAAAAATTACACTCCCTTCGTTCCTATTTTATCTTCCAAATAGGTTTGACACACAATTTAAGATACTGAGTATTGTGTGGTAGAGAGTTGTGCAGAGGAGAGATAAATGTGTAAGAAATGTTGTGAACCACAAATTCTTTACTAAAAAGGGAAAATAGAAGTTTTAATTGGAACGGACGAAAAAGGAAAGTTGGAAGTTTTAATAGGAACGGAGGAAGTATGATTTTCATTAGGGATGACAACTGGGCGGTTCGGGGTCGGGTATACCATTACCCGTACCTGCCCCGTTTGATAATATTTTCCCCCGAAACATCCCCGTTACCCGTCGGGTATTTTTATCTGCGGGTAACGGTTTTCCCCACCGGTAACGGTTTCCCCCGCGGGTAACCGTTTTATTAAAATTAAAGATACTACCTCCGTCCCACAAAATTCTTTCCACTTTGACTTGACACAGATATTAAGAAAGTGGAATAAAGTGGAAATGTGTTGTTGTGGTCGTGTAAGAAAAATGTGAAATGAATGTGAACCACACAAATTGTCCAAAAATGGTAAGTGAGAAGAATTTTTTGAGACAACTCAAAGAGGAAAGTGGTAAGAATTTTAGGGGACGGAGAGAGTAATTTTTTTCCTTCAAAATTAGTATAAATCCTAAAATGATGATTCACTACTTATAATTGAGAAC